TTGGACTTAATTATTATACAATTACTCTTATAATTATAATACTCTTTTTCTTTTTCTTTATATTACCTCTACTTTTCTATCTACTTAATGCTCTATCGTTTATCTTTAACGTTTCATATTTGATGATCAATTGTCACATATTATTATTGCCCATATTGGTTTAACCATCTTAATAGTCTCGTTTTTTAAGTTTCACAGTTTGTTCTTTTAATTTGTCTACTACTTATTTTTACTTCGATGTTGTGTTTACATATGTCTACACAATATTCTTTCTTGAATTTTCCTACACTCTTATTATACCTACATTCATTCCTCATTCATACCTACTTTACATTCTTACCGCGTCAGAGCGTTCTTTAAAGTAAGTTTTAATGACTCTTAACGTTTTATAATTATTCAAAGCTAATAGTGCTATCGCATTTTCTCCTTTTTCGTCTATTTCTTCTTTAACTTTTCCTTCAAATTCTCTTCTTTGAAGATTATTTAATCTATATCTACAAATTACGTGCTAGAGTGAATTATGACAATTACGTATTGTTTATTATTTTTCGCTAATACTTACCAGGTGATTCGCACAATATCTCGGTCCTTGCTATGTACATGGCAAGGATAGTGAAAATTAGTTTACGGACCCGCCACCACAGATGGCGCCACCATTCACTTTTCTTATCCTTGTTGCACGCTGCCTCTATCCTTAGCTTACAAATTATGTACCGAGATAGGGAACGTTAGTTCAGAAATCCGCCAACATAAATGGCATCTCCATCGCTGTCTATTTCTGATATTGGCGCAGATTTGTAGAAATGTCGAACAACCCTTTACCGTAATTTGACGAGTCTGACCCATGATAGAGATTTCTAGTAATTACCTGTCATTTATGAATGTTATTCCGTTTTTGAGGTCGTAATAAAATTCTGTTTCCTTATCATTAACAGTTAAATATTCTTGTAAATGCAGACGTATAATGGATATCAGTTTCCATTTTCATCTAAGAAATTATTACAATCCAAATAATCATTATCAAATCATCATGATCAAATAATCATAGCTGTGATGAAAATGGTACTTTTTTACAGATTTAAAATTCGCCTTTTCAAATATTGATATATGACCGCAAACCAATGATATCGCATAGATATATAGATTACTTGAAAGGTTCAGAAGCCAATCAGCGTAAGTCCAATTTCTTTGACAATAAGTTACAGAGTGCAACGACACCTTTATCATAGGATCTTTCGGTTGATATAGATCAATATAGTAGATTTCTTCATAAAAACACAGTAGATAGCAGCACTTGTATTGACCACGGAATAACTAAACAAAATAAAAAAAATAAAATAAAATAATTACATATTAATATTAACTTTTTTACTTAATTATAATAAATATTGTGCTTTGCATTATTGGTGTCATTGTTACATTTTTACGGTTAATGTGCAAGATTCTTATTTATCTAAATTTTAGTTAATGAACTTACACCGTTTAGCTTCTAAGCTGTCCACTTATCAATCATGTCGAATGAACTTAAACGATTATTTAAATGAAACGTTTTGTTACTCGAATCACTTAAACAAAGAAAATTACTTAACACTAAAATCACCGAGCCCTAAACACGGCTAATGTATATATACATTAGTATATATTGTATTAACATTATACAATATATATATTGTATTAACATTATACAATATATATATTGTATTAACATTATACAATGTATAATGTTAATGTATATATTATAATAATGATAAAATTGGATTTATTTAAAATTCGTACGGTTTCTACTGTAATCTTGTCGAACGTAGTTTATTTAAAAATTTCTCCCGGAAACGTTTTTCATAATACCAGGAAATGTAAAAGAACAGTTAAAAGCCGCTAATATTGACTAGTAGATCCTAACTTTGATTATTTCTGTATAGAATCCAGTAATCGATTGGGATCGGGTAAAAGACAAAGAAAAGCAGGTTGACAATGTTACATTAGTTGTATTGGAACGAAGATTGTGTAACAAATATATTGCAAATAAAATGCATTACTCAACGATCCGAACGTACGTCGAATCACGCCTTCAACAAGAACAACTCGACACAAGCTACATAATTTATCGATACTCGNTACAATATATATATTGTATTAACATTATACAATGTATAATGTTAATGTATATATTATAATAATGATAAAATTGGATTTATTTAAAATTCGTACGGTTTCTACTGTAATCTTGTCGAACGTAGTTTATTTAAAAATTTCTCCCGGAAACGTTTTTCATAATACCAGGAAATGTAAAAGAACAGTTAAAAGCCGCTAATATTGACTAGTAGATCCTAACTTTGATTATTTCTGTATAGAATCCAGTAATCGATTGGGATCGGGTAAAAGACAAAGAAAAGCAGGTTGACAATGTTACATTAGTTGTATTGGAACGAAGATTGTGTAACAAATATATTGCAAATAAAATGCATTACTCAACGATCCGAACGTACGTCGAATCACGCCTTCAACAAGAACAACTCGACACAAGCTACATAATTTATCGATACTCGCCCACCTTACGCTAGCACATTCTTACACATATATTACACACCCTCTACATTTTATAAGTTATACATAAAGATATATAAGTGATCTTAGGCGAATAGCTCGGACGAGCAGTCTGGCATCGAATAGAAATTTTTTAATAACGATTCGTGATCTGCCGAATCCAGTCGAGATAATGGGACACGCGGGAGTAGACACCTGGAACACCTGCCTGACCGCATCCGATTCCCCAGGACACGATTCCTGCCAACTGCCAGCGACCCTGTCGTTCGCAAACCATAGGGCCACCACCGTCACCTTTGCAAGCATCCTTGCCTTCCTCGCCACCAGCGCAGATGAATCCTGGATGCAGATTGAATCCAGGACCCAGCCTCGTCCTACGCATTTGGTGCTCGCAGATCTGGTTGTTAACCACGGGCACGTCCACCTCCTTCAGGATGTTCTGGTATTTGCCAAAGTCGCCGAAAGCGTCCTTACCCCAACCGGTGGTCCAGCACCTGTTCAAGCAGAACGATCGTCAGTTCACAACGCTATCACAGTGTTACATCCATAGGATAACAATCGAAAATTCGAAGTGTGAGATCGAAACTTACTACTAGACACTCTTATGTCGCGAAATATTAGGTTGAGTCATAAATAACTTCCGATGCAGCTAAGTAAAATCTATTGTTTCTCTATTATGAGAATTTACTCATAATATTATTATATATATATAATATAATATATAATATAATATAATATAATATAATAATAATAATATATATAATAATATATATGTATAATATAATATAATATATAATATGATATATATATATTATATATTATATATTATATATTATATATATATATACTATAATTACTCTATTATTTACTCATAATTATATTTCTCCATTATGAGTCACCGGGCCAAACGAGTTTTTGCTTTCGCTCAATAGATTAGGGTTCAAAAATATAAATAAAAATAAACAAAATAAATGACAGATGAAGGAACGGAAGTTATTTACGACTCGACCTAATCCATATTAAATATTTATCAACTTTAGTGAGACTTTTGGACAAAGTACCGTCCTGATTTTTGTGTACTAATTTTGGGAACATTAAAATTTACATTAAAATCAATTCCAATTGCACGGAATATTGTTTCAAATGAAAATATCAATCAAAATTGTTACAAGGGCGCATAATATTCGATTCTGCAGGGTTATGTTAAGGTTATGTAAAAATTAATAATTCCCAAAGTAATTAATTTTCACTCCAAGACACCTCTAATACTTTTCTTAAAGAACATACGAAGTTCTTATCAACTGACGAACAAAAAATATAATTGTGTTGTAAGAAAGTTTACGTACACTTAATTTTATAGAATTAATTAGTTTAAACTTCTGTTTAATCAATTTTTTGAGTAAACTTTTTTTACAAAAATTTTACTTTAGGGAGAAGTTACTATTTTTTTCCATTCTTCCATACGATAATCTAAATTTTTCACGTATTTGCGCTAAGAGCTGACAAATAAATTATTCGATAACTACTTATACGACAACACATTGGAATAAAAAATTTGATAAGAAACTTCTCATTTAACAACAAAATTTTGATCAGATAAATTTATATTTAATAAAACTGTCTGTTTTTTTATTAATTTAAAAGATCTTCATACGGCTTTTAACGCGTCGACTGCCACGTGGCAGCCTCAAAAAGTTCATAAAACGAAAGTATCATATTTAATCAAATCAAAGTTGAAAAGTTAAATTGTATGATCTCGATTGCTTTTACAAAACTCTTATGTTTCGCAGATTCTAATAAAATTCCGAAGACATAATAGTTTCAAAAATTAATTAATAAATTATTAATTAATATTATATATTATAATTATATAATTATATATTATTAATACAAAATTAATTAATTAATTTTCAGACCTGGTGCAAATAATTCCGTCACTCGCATGAGAGTTAACTCGCGAGGGTTAAGCTGTTAAAAAGGTATTACGTCGAAATGGAGGTCCTATATCGAAAATGAACCAAATCGGAATATCTTAATTTGGTCCCAAATTCCCATACAGGATCTAACACAGCGCGTTAAACCGACTACAACTGTTCCGGACCCAGGGCACCCACGTACCTGCTTTTCACGAAGTCGTCGCGTTTGTCCGGTAAACAGGCAGGACTGATGTGAGGATTCTTCAGGAAATCGACCTCGTGGTCTATTCTCAGGATCGCGATATCGTTGTAGAGAGTGCCGGCGTAGAATTCAGGGTGCACGACGATGTTGGCCACGTCCCTTTCGATGTACGGATAGAATTCGACGTCGTGGTTCACGTCCCATTCTCCCAAACGAACCCGGAGATCGTGAGCGGCGTACGTTTTGACGCAGTGCGCCGCAGTCAGGATGTGCCTGGACGAGATAAGGGTGCCGCCGCATACGTACACGCTCTCCGTGGGGTCCTTCTTCAGGATGGCAACTTGCCACGGGTACTCGCCTGTGGACAGCAAAACGGTTCAGCCGCGACAAGGCGCATGGAGCGCAGGTTTCGCAGAGGTCTTCCGCAAGTCTTACCGAACTCCGCGTCACCGTCGACGTTCACGGGGGTCTTGATGCGTCCGTTGATGCCCTGCGTGTACCTAGTCCCGCACTGTCCCGGACGCGGTTTCGAGGCCTGTTGCCTCCTGCGGCAGCAGACGAAGCCGGGGCTGCAGGACCTGGGGGGTCCGCCGAGGAATTGTCTCTGTGGAGAAAGCAGACATCTCGTTGGACGACGAGCTCGACGCATGGTCGCGGTGCCTTACGGGCAATAAACGAGCGGATTCGCTCGAACCGGCAGGTTCGGCGAAGGGAGAGAAAGAGAGAGACTCGCCGAGGACACGAGGAGCAAGTACCTTTTGGATCTCCGCCGACGACGACCCTCCATCGCTGATACTTACCTCGTCTTCGGTCGCTAGCTCGCGCTTTCTTCTGCCGGGGAACGATACCTTTCCAGAGGTCCCCGTATTCCCAGCGAGCCCCTTATCGTCGACGGGTCGATCCTCGGGCCCCGGTTGCTTCGCGTTCGATCGCCCGTACGACCGATCCTCGTAATCGTAATCGTAATCGTCGCCGTCGCGATAGTAATCGGAATAGTCCGCGGCCGGATAGTAAGAGGGTTCGTGATGGTACGCGGGGCCGTGAGACGGGTAGAACGGTTTCGAGGGGTAGTAGGGTTTCTCGTGGTACACGCTCGGCTTCGGGGGGTGATGGTAATGGGGCGCGTAACCGGGCCCGTAAACGGGGCCGTGCCCGTAATTCCCGTGGATCGCCTGTTTCTTGTACGCTAGAAGATCGCCGAGTTTCTGGACGATGTGCCGATTCGGCGTCACGTGGAAATTAACGAACGGCTTGACCACCTTGTCGCCGTACTCGTCTTTGCTGAATTGCACGGCTAGCAGAGGATTCACGGAGACCAGGCCCAAATTCAGGCCCTGGTCGGATCCGTAACCGCCGTACGGGTTTACCAAGGGATTGCCGCCGTAAGGATTGATCGGGTACGGGCCGCCGGTTTGCGGTAGACCGAAACTGACTCCCCAGGTCGGCTTCAAGTTTAATTTCGACGAGTCCAGATCGCTAGCATCGAGTCTCTGCAACCAGAGATCGAACGGGCACGCAGATAGAGATCCCAGAGCTCCGTAACAAAAGTCGCGGCTCTAGTCACCGGCAAAAAAGTAGGACAGACGGCGATCGGGCACCCCGTCGAACTTTCGGCAGGCCTTCCCACGATAAAAAAAAAGGGTCGCGACTAACGATTAGAAACTTCTCAGCGGTCTTACCCCTTCGCCGGTGCTCTTCTTCCTGCCCTCGACGGCCGCGTCCTCATCTTCCGCGACCTCCCTCTTGGCCCTGGCCTCGGTCCCGCTGGAAGTCGGCGCGTCGACGACGCTCGTCGTTCCGTTTCCTTCCAAGCTCGACGCGTCCGTCGGCGCGTCGGCGGCCTCCGCCTCGATGTTCTTGTTCAGGTTTCGCGGATCGATGGCCAGATAGAGATCGTCCTTGCGACCGGCGTGCTCGGAAGCCTGGCATTGTTCGTACGGCACGCACACGCAGTCGGCCCCGTAGCTCCCGGTGAAATCGTTCCCGAAGTCTTCGTTCTCGTTCTGATGATAGTAATTATTGTTCGCGTTGCTCGAGCCGAACGAGTAATCGTTCGATCCGGCCTGTACCGCGTTCGACGAGACGTAGTTCCCGGGTCCGTAGTACTTGCCGGTTTTCTGACCGTCCTGCTTCGCGTAGGTGAAATCTTGAGGCGGTTTCTCGTAGACGGGATACCGATTGGCGTAGTTGTTCGCCGACGCGGAACCGTCGGGCCCGATGAGACCGTTGCCTCCGCTGCCCGACGGCGCTTTCACCTTGAACGCTTTCTTGTAGTCGTCCGAGTCTTGGAAACCGCCGGCGTAAATCGACTGGCCGGGATGATCGTAGCTGGCTCCGACAGTGCCTAAACCGATCGACGGGCTTCCGACGAAGCCGCCGGCTTGGCTAGCCCCCTCGCCGTGGTGATAGTGATGATGGACGTGCTGCTGCACCGACCCGTCGGCTCCCACGACGCCCGGTCTCAGCGCGATCTGCTTCTTGTCGATGAACCGATCGTTGCCCTCGTAGTCGAAGCCACCCTCGTACACGGGCTTCGAAGACGCGAACGACGGGAACGGGGGTCCGGGTCTCTTCAGGCCGCCGGGGTAGGAGCTGATCAATCCTCCGGGTCCGCCGGGGAACTGGGAGATGGATGGAGGAGGCACCGGTCCACCGCCGAGTCCGTAAACGACGTCCGAAGTCAGGCCCGAGGAACCGAAGCTGCTCGATCCTGATAAGCCGGGCGGCACCTTGGGTGGGCCGTAAGGTCTCTTCACGGGTATCGCTGGCAGTGGTCTTCCCACTGGCTTTATGGTCACCGGTTGCGCGTAGATGATGTCCTGGGGGTATATACCGCGATGGGGAGAGTAATACGGTCGGCGTCCCTCGACGTTCTCGCACTGGAAATAGTTCGAAGATGAATCGACGAGTCCTTTGATGTTATTTTAATAGCTACTTTAATAGAGCCGCGAGCTTCCCGGCGTACTCACGTTCATCAGCCCCAGCGTGCACAGCTTGTCCCTGATGTAGGACCGAGCGACCGTGTCGTTTCCGAGTTGCAGCGCGTTCTTCACGTTCGGGTCGGCGTACACCTGGTCGAAGCCTTCGATGCTGCGACCCTGGCGACTGGACGCCAGGATTTCGTCGACCACAGCTTCCACCTGCGAAGAATCATTCGTTCGTCGATCCTGCGAAAAGTGTTCGACCGAGGCCGAGCGCAAAGGTGTCTCACCGATCTCTGTTCCCTTGCCGCGTCGCCGAAGAATTCTTTGCTCGGAGCTGGTTCCGACGTCAATTTCGCGTCCGTGTTGCTACTACCGTCTTGCGATTCGGCCGCCGATTCCACGGCCTCCAGGCTCGCCGAGGGTTGCCAGGACCAATCGTTCGGCCCCGAATCGATCGGCACTTGGGTCGCGAACGTGCCCGCCGCTCCGCATACCAATAAAATCGCCCACAGCTTCATCCTGCAAATGAACGTTCGTGTAGAAAACAGCGAGGAAAAAAAAATCGGTAGCGCGGTCCGCGGGAAAAGTATCGCTCGAATCCGAGTGCGTGAACACGATCCGTTTGACCGAGAAATCGAGTGTCCAACGAAAGCGAGAGGATGTCGGGAGAAAGTCGGTAAACTGGCCTTGCCGCGGTCTCCGTCTCGTGTTCATCCCACGCCCGGCTCTTTCCTTCCACGGCCGCTCTTTCGAAAATTTTCGAACCCGGTGAAAGTTGTTGCGTAACAATCGCGGGACGTCGATCGATCGTCTCCCAGCACTTTCTTTGTTCCCTCGGCGCCCGATTTCCCAAACTATGAAACTGGAATTTTCGAAGAAGTTCGAAAGCAGAAGCGCGAGGGTTGTATATCCGAAGATGTTCCAAAAATTGAACGATATTATCGAACGGTCGAAGCCGAGTTCCGGGTCGAAGAACGCGTGAAACGAGACGAAGCCGGACTGAAATCGGGGTGGCACTCACCTTAGGGTTCGAACGCGTCGTGCGGCCCGACTAACGATCAAAATTTCTGCGCCCGAACGATCTCTGTAACGAACGGCTGTCGGCGGACGTCTGCGATGCGTTGTCGGAGTTTCGCTCTTTAACCAAACACTTTCTCCATGAACGAGGTTACACTGCGCGTTCACCGGCGCCATTCCTATCTTATATAGACGACCCTTTTCGAGATGCTGGAACGGGCGGCCCAACCGATTCACGACGGTGGGGCTACGATCGTGACTCATCCAGAGGCCGGACATCCGTCTCGAATAGGTTCCCCGAACCGCAACGCGTTCGAGCAGCCCCGTGTCAGCTTGCCAAATCCTCTTCGACGATCGTGTATAGAATCTATTCGGTACCCAGCTCGTGTCCCCTCGATCGCAACAGTAGAAACTTCTTCGCCTCGATCGATCCGTCGATCGTCGCTGCATTTTCGACGACGACGCTTCCTGTTATCGTTCTTGAACGGCTACACCCGCATCCTTCTTTATCGTAATGTCATTTCGAAGTCTCAATCTTCCTGATACCAACGCGATTTTTATCCGGCCTTTGAGGGCATCGTGTGCGTCAGTGTTCGTTTCACACACGAAGATTTATTTATTTATTGGATATGTACGGGAAGTATATATCCAATGTACATACATACATATATATATATATATTATAATTATTTATATATTATATATTATATATTAATATAATTATATATATATTATATATATATTTTTTTTGTTTGTTAACAAGCTAAAAGAGAATC